ACAATTATTATTAATAATTTGTGGTATTTAAAAACAGCATTATGATGACCTCTGTCTATTTTTGTGTGTTGGAACCAATCCAACATTTACCAAAAATTGTTACATCTTATGCAATTTTCTGACCTACTGACAACAGTTTTCCTTAACAAAGCAAAGTCAACAAATATGGAACCATATTTGAACTTTCCTTTTATCCATAATCATACATTTGTTTTGTGTAGATATTTTTATCTGTGAACTGTCAACTTTTGGAAAAGTATATAAAGCCTATGAATTGATCAGTAGGCAGTTCAGTTTTCTAACAGCTAACTTTGTGTTAAAACTTGCTTGTTTAGAACTAGAAACTCATTTACTCAATAAATACTCTTTTAACGAAATACTGGTGTTTTGTTGGTAAATTTCTTGTAAAGTTTCATTTGTTGAGACAACTTGTGGATAAACTTGAAAGGTTCTATTTGGACCAGTACTTTGATACATTGGTAAATGATTGGTGAGGACGAATTCGAATTTGATAAGCTCGAGATTCCTACAATTACAATAGAACAAAGTACATTGTTCAAAACAGCTGTTGATAGTCAATCAATCTCTTGACAAGGTGACACGGATTTGAATTCCTCTAAAGGTCATCTACATCACAGTTCGGTGCTGAGCAATGTCAAGCACTCAGATATGGGAGAAAGAAATAAAATAAAATGGAATATTTCAGTAGTAAATAAAGTCATTGAGTTTAAATAAATTTGATGATGTATCGGATTGACAAGTCTTAAAATAGATGACACATAACAAGCTCGTCCTTGAGTCAACACTTCTATACATGCTAAAGTCTGTTATTCATGAAAATTGAAAGAAAAACATGTTAGGTTCACTCTGACTTAATGATATTAACATATTTATATATTTGAATACACTAACTGCTATTCAAGTTTCGTTGACGAAAATCAATAACCTTTTACATTCCAATTCCCTTAACTTTATATGCTTTGTCTTTATATTTCAATTATTCATTTATATTGAAAATATTTTTTAGTATAAAAGACTTTTGATGGAAAATATATCTATAATCTCCATTGAGGATGACATTAAGAGCAACTGTTGCAGTATTTTGTTTATTAATATCACCATTTGAAATAGATACCAATCAAATCTATGTTGATAAATCATGTAAAGAGAAACTAAAATTTGTTTTTAAAAAGAATTTCTATCAAACTTTTTTCAACTTTTTTTTTAGTATTTTCGTTGTTCTCAATAAAAACATTAATAATCGTCACGTGATTGCAATAGAAAACTAATGCATGGACTGTTTACTCTGTTTATTCACTGCTGAGAATCTAGCTTGCAAAACTCTTATTTTGTTATTTGCATCAAAACCTAATCTGAAAACAAAACATTTCAGAATTACCCCTGATATATGAAAGCCTAACGTCATCCCATTTAACTTACTAAATTTCTCTATAACATTGATGTGCTAGGTGATTTCAGATTTTCTTTTATTGATTTACTATCCAAGTGCAAAATATTTAAAAGAATTTCTACGTTTCATACTGATAATTTTGCGAGATTTTTCCAAATGAAAAATGGAAAAATATATCTAAAAACTGCTAATTAATAAGAGATATTTGAATTATTTTAAATAATTTGTTTAATTAATAGATTCAGAGTGTTGTTTCTATCAAATGTATAGGCCTATTCCCCCCCAAAAAAAATTCACTAAAGTGTATACTCTCTCTGACTGCTGGCTTCTCTATACTGTATACTTAAGAATTTTGCAGTTGAAAAATTATAATTAGATTTATGAATATTTTACTATATTTTCAAAAGCAAAGATGTTTTCTAGTCAACAACAGAAAAGAATATTTGCCTACTTGTTGATGATTTTTTTTATCCATAGTATTTTCTGATCAAAAACTTAACAATTTACCAATTATCGCTCAAATCCATCCAACTCTTACAGTCTTTGGGAGAATTGATTAAGCTTTTTAAACTCTGGGCGTCTTTTGCAACCTGGTAGATTTAAAACAAAAGATGTGCCTTAAATTCAACCTAATTGGCGACTTTATAAGGTTAGAATGGTTCCGTTTTGTCAAGGATTTGATGTACTAAGTTTCTGTCATTTAGGGAAGAATCGCTGTAAATGTATTCTAGACTACGAGCAAGGTTTATAAAATTCTCTGGGTTGATTCTATTTTTGTCATTTTACGATACTCAAAATAGAACGTTTCATCTGCCATCCATTGCTTTAGTATTTGGCATATTTCGCTGTTGTCGATTTTAGCTTCGGATAATGTGATGAAGAGATTCTTGTGAAAGTCACATTGGCACCATTAAACTTTTTAGACAGGGATTATCTTTTGTATCTTACATTATCGATTTTTTAATTCAGATATTGGTAATATTATCTCGTTATCTCATCCATCATCTCTGTCATTGTATCATGGTATTCTGTCTGCTCATCTTTCCTGATGAGTTCAAAAATTTTGAATGTTCGAAATTTCGCCATCTTGTTCTTCGACCATTGGAAAATGTTCCATTTCTGAAATTTGGTCAAAAAACGACGGATTGCATTTCTTGTCAGAAGAGTTTGTTTGGGATGAACTCATCATTTCAATGAGACACACCACCTTATCATTCAATTCTTTGAACTTTTTCAACTAATTTCCATTCTATATGGCAAATCCACTATGACTACTGCCAATAAAGTTCTTAAAGATGATTACTATTTGCATCAAATTGTTATTAAAAACAAAGATTACTTAATTCTGATTGATCGATCATCCATTTTGATCAACAATAAAAAATTTAATTGGATTGATATATAAATTTGAAAATTGGCAGATTAAAACGTCAATAAAGACAATTGTTGTTGACAGTTTCTATCAACAATACAAGTTAACCATAATTGTACAGAGAGAACTCAATGAATACATCTTAATGTCAAGTTCAAAAGTCTTGGTATTTCGTACAAAAGATTTAGTGGATTAATAGGTGATATTGGAAAAAAGATATATTTAATAAATCAAGGTATTCAAAGGGATAGTACAACTGTTCAAGTTAATAACAAACATCTTAAAGGTAAATTGACCAAGACATTAACATATTACCAATCGATCAACTTATATTTCCAAAACTAAAGTCTTATATGTTTATTAACAACTATTTTATTGACTTACAATTAATAAAAAAGTACTCAATAAACCTTATAGATGACTTTTTATATTTAGATATGATATTGTGTATTTCTTATTCTCCTTCAACCAATGTTAAGGATACTCTACCATTATTTCTCAATAGTAATGTAATTCTCTTCATTGAGAGACCAAAAATGTGTGACTATGAACATGAATAATCAACTATTTTTCCTAGCCCTAGTATAGTCTGAAAATAGCCAAGCTTTGAGGTCAAGGATTGCATGATAAATTAAATACGCACCTATAAACTGCTGGTAACATTGACAGATTTAAACATGTACTAAAATATTAAGCTTTCAATTGTCCTCGACAAGTAGTCAATACTATTTCGACATCTTTTCAATATATGCAAATCCAAGCTTAAGAGTACAGCTTAATTTTTTTTTTAAATTAGGTCATCGTTTTCAATAGTAATAGAAGTTTAAAGGATAAAAATTTAAATGCCATTGGAAAATATATTACTAGACCTATATTTAAATAAATAATTCCATCTGGAAAAGTATAAATAAAGCACATAGAATATGAATGGGAATATTATCATTTTGAATTTTCAATCTCTAAAGTCAAGACTGTAAATTGTTTAAAATTAATCATGTCTACTTTGCAGCCAATTTCGAGATTGCTCTTGTTTGTATTCCTTCTGATTTTTACCTGCAGTGATGTTTGTCAACCAAGGCCAATAACATCAAAAATTGAAATAATTCTATTATCAGATTCATCTACATTGGGTGTAATGGAAACTTTAAGAATATACGAACATTTACTCTCTCTGCTGATATCCGATTTTACACTTGCAGATAAGACTGAACAAGTATCTTTAATAAGATATAGCACAAAACCATTTTTAATATACAAGATCATAATTTTGAAAAGATTTCAACAATTGAGGAAAAAATCTGATAAATCTGAAAAATTGAAATTTTCCTTTCAAAATAATAAAATTTTGAAGAATTTAAATAAAGAATTCCAGGTACAAAGCAACGGGAAAAAGTCATTATATCAAGTTTTTACTAAACAAACAAAAGTAAGAAAAAACCATTCTTTCTTTTTTCAAATCTATTTATAGATTTTTTATCTTTTTGAATTTTTACAGAGCAACACTTTAAATTATCTCATCAAAATAATATTGAACAGTGATGATAATAGTACTCTAACAACTACAGAATTTAATGAACGTTACGTTAATCAATTTTTATACTTAAAGAAGTTTATCACAGACATAGACGAATATTCTTTGGTTAAGTGACAATGTCAAGGTCATTTAATGCTATTTTATAGAATGTTTATGTATTTTGATGGAAAATAAAACATTATTATGTGTTTGTTAAAAACTGCCATAGTTCTCAATTATTTTTCTATTATTGCCTAGGGGAAAAAGTTATAAACAAGTAGGATCCATTGTACACTCCCAATATGAAGTCTCTGCCAGGGTTGTTCTTAGATTGGAAAAAGTGAATTATTTAACTAACAGGACTAGCTTAATTAAATCTTTTTGTTTAGAATGAACGATAAGACATCTATACAACCAAATTTATAGATAAAACTTGTTAAAACATTTTTCTAACATTACCAAATAGCTTATTGATTCTTTATCAAATAGCTTGTTGTGCTGTTTTATTAGAGATATTTTTACAATTGCTAAGAGAAAATTGAATAAAACTACAGGGTTACACAAAGAGAGGTTAATCTACGGATAAGTTTTAATTTTCAAAATGGGACGTTCTTTCCATAACCCAAAAAAGTATTTTAAAGTAAAAACTATGTCAAGTTATAAAGTGTGACAAACTATATTACAGATTTAAAAAATATTCCAATGTGACCTTGGCCTTGGAGATTCTTCATAAAATTAGCACAATTTTCCATTAATCAAGCATTGAAATATTGATGTATTATTATATATGTAGAAAAATTGTCAGAATAAAAATACAACAAAGTACAGAATTCATAAAAGCAGTTGAAATATAGGTGATCTACATCTACAAGTACGTTAATGTCAAGAGAGATAACAAGGATCTTTCGGTACAAATTTTTTTTCTTTTCACATAATTTAAATAAAGAACAATTTGCAAAAGTAAACATCTCTGCTTTCTAGATAAATATCTAAAAGTATGTGAATTTTAACAACGTCAGTTACGTGGTTATTTAGATTTTTACACTGAAAATAGAAATATAGAAATGAATTTTGTGGATTAAAATTTTCAAGATCGCATAAATTTATCATTTCATCTTCATATTCTTTTGTGCTATAACTGATAAAAATATTGACATTTTTACCAGTAAACTCTCCATCTTCCTTTAAAATTAATACCAGTTTTGAATTATTCGTGAATAACTCCGTTCCATTGAATATTTTATAGTCAAATGATGTTGCTGGAGATTTTATTCTTTTGCAGTTATCCACCATATTACCAGGATTTTCATAGTAACCATCATATTGAAAATTAATATTTTGATCTAAAAAAGGATGAAATTGTATATGAAAACAAAATGTAAAAGGATGCTTTAAAAGTACCTATATCAATCATTTGAACTTGATTAATTATATCAGCAACTCCATTCTTGAATAGAATTTCATGAATATTCATTGATACTTTTGCCTTTACACTAACCAGTTTATTCAAATCATATATTTTACCTAAACCAAATGTTATTTCACATGGTGCTATTTTCAACCAAAAATCAGTCCACAGTTCGCAACTTATTAATGAAGTTGAATTACTAAATTCAACTATTCTGAATTCTGGTTCAAAAATTTCAATAGATGATTTTTCCACATTATTTGAAATTGTATCCAATTTTACTGAAAATTGCTTTGTTTTGTCATTCTTCATACTTATAATTAATGATGAACAGTCTGAAGAGTTTCCAGAATTTTGACCTTGAACTCTTAACTTGAATATATTAAATATTGGTTGAAAGTGTATAGGCAGATGATAGACAACATCATGAACAAATTGAATATCATAAATATTATAAATTCCTAGGAGAAAGAAAGAAAGGAAAAGAAAATAAATTTGAAAATTTTTATTATAAAGGAATAATTTACGTTTTGCAAAAACTTTAAAAAAAGTAAATCCAATGGAATTGGATCCATAAAATTCTTTAAGAATTACTTTAACTGAATATTCAATTGTTGGTTCATGCTCGTAATTGAAGCAGTTGCTTAGGTATCCTGATGGTAGATTTTCGAGAGTATCGACAAAACCAGAAGTTGTCCATTCAATTCTTAATTTCTTAACATAATTATTCATTTCCAGTCTGCCGCATAAAACAAAAATATTGACAAATTAGAAAATATTAGGGTACATTTTGTTTCTAAAACCTGTTAATGTAGCAATAATGCAGAGGTCGAGCAGGTTCTGAAAAAGTAATAATTATATATTCATTCAAGCAGGTAGTGTGACCACCACAATTTGCTGTCCAACCAAATTGGAAATTTGTATCAAGTGCCGAACTACATTCATGGTTGATACGATTACTTGACTGTTGACAAGTTGCTCCCAATTCCAGAGAAGCTATATTAACTAAATTTTCGTCGTTATCATCATCATCAGTCGAATCTAATGTTGAAGAAAAAAGGAAAAAAATCACCAATAACAAAATCATGGCAAACAATTAACTGATGACTTTACCTTTGTCAAATGCATAGGCAATAATAGAATTGTAACCAGAATTTAAAAGTGATAAAGCAAACAATGTAGGCTTAAATTTTAAACTGGTGCAATTAATTCCACTGCCTACTTCAAGCAGAAGATAATTTTCATAATTTTTTATTTTATAAACTGGTGTTTTTTCACCAATTGTAATTTCAACGGATGAAATGTAATATTTAGCAGGAATATTCCTCTGAGTAATACCAATTTCAATAATATTGTATGGTTTGGAGAATTTAACAAGAATCCAACTATCATAACAAGGTGCTCCAGTACATCGAGGGGACCAGTCTAATATATTAACTGACTTTGGTTGCAAAGCATTTTGGCAATGAAAAGTAAATGACGCTGTTGGAAATGTACTGCTCACTTCACAAGTTGCTCCATTTACCGTTGAAGCTACATTTTTCAATTTGGTGCCTAGGTACAAAAACATTCTTTTAAAGGCCTATATCTTGAAATACACTCCTTCTTACGACAAGAAAGAGAGAAACAAAGAGGTAGAGAATGATACCAACTAGTTTTTATTGTAGACATTCGTCCAAAGTCTGCAGTTTCTAGTAGGATAAGAATAAAAGTTGAAAATGTATAGTGGAACATTGTCTTGTATCTTTCCATTCTCTGTTTATTGATCTTAAATGTATGTTCCTTAAAAGAAAAATATTAACAAAATGTTTTATTAATTCGTTTATGTTTATTTAATAGCAATTTTCAAAATTCATCAATAGAGTTTTGAGTATTATACGATCATGTGACTGAAGGAAAGTCTTATTAACCTTTGTTGCTATTTTCAATGTAACTTATGTATTTTGTAATAAAAAATAAATTTTCCATTCGGCCTTGTATTGTCCACTAAATTTTAGTATTTTAGTATGTTTTTCAAAGATTCAAAAAATTTTAAACTAAATCAGTTAAATATTTTTCTTTGTTAGAAAATCTATAATTTTCATCACTTTTATCAAAGCAATTAATTTCACTATCACCAAATTTATTCAATTGTATACACTGTCCATTTGAGCAAGGCCTAAAATTATAAATTCAAAAAGTTCTTTTATATTTCTTTTTGTTGCTAAAAAAAATGATATTTTCTAACTAATCACCTAGAATCTTTTAAGCAGTTCTTTGTCTCTGAAGGAACAGAAAAATTCTTGTGTTTTTGTTAACCAATTAAAAAATTAAATAAAAACTCACTACAAAATATTTCATCAGATCCATCAAGGCAATCATTAAAAAGATTCATATAATGTTTTTCCTTTACATTCCTAAAAGAATGATTTGAATTTACTCTTGTTATTTTAATCAAATTAAATATAATTGTTATATTTTTACATAGCGAGGATGATTTAATTTTTGTGATAGATATAAGAGAGGAAAGTTACTGGCTGTGGCAGCAATAGGTTTATTTTTTCTCATGAATTTATGATATACTCCTAATGAAATTTATAATTATTATTCAAGTTTTGTATATTATCATTGTAATGTAAACAATACTATTGTAATAAGCATATTTCGTAAAAGGGAATAAAATGGTCTCACTATGAGTTATATAGAAAAGTGAAAATGACATTTCATGACTGGGAATATCATTTAATGTTAAATTAGATTTTTCACATTTCTCTTCTATATCATCCAGGGAAAGAAATTTTGAATTTTTATACAGATAATAGCATACATCATGTATTGATAGAGCATTTTCTCCAGGGCATTGACTCTCTACAAAAGTATTATTCAATTACTTTAAACGAGATTTGAAATATTCAACTTGAATTTCTTGAACATGCAACGTAAAATAGAGTTGGCTGGAACCTGTATTTTTTTATTTATTACAATTTTTTAAGAATATTTTATTATCCAACTAACTTTTTTGATTGTTCTTTGTGTTGACATTCATTCAAGCTTGATTTGGAACCATTACAAGAAATGGTTTTGTATAATATAGATGTTGTGATAAGAGTACCGCCTGACTTCAAAAACCTAGGTTGCACTAAAGTTCCACTAAGAAATCCGAAGCTTTTACAAATAATTTGAATCTCTTGATCTTTTATTATTTTAAAATTAGCTGGAGTTTTTCCACTTAAAACAAGAAAACTTCCAGAAAAGAAGGCATAGTTGTGCTTTTGTCCAGAATACAAAAATCCTCTCAAAAAATTAGTCAGTAAATATTTGTAGACTATTAAAATTTGAAAATATACTTATTATTTCTTTCAAGTTGATTGCATAATACCTCTAATTATAAATATTCTGACTCACCTGTAGACTCTTTTGAGCAAATAGGATTTGCTCGGCAGAAAAAGCTACCCCAATAATGTTGGGGATAGCATCCTTGAATGAGCACTTTCCTTTATTATTCTATAATTTTGATTTTGGTGTCTAAAGTATATATAATATAGTTTTGAATTTTCTTTTGTGATTTTTGCCTCTTCAGCAAAAATATCTATAAAAAAATATATTAAAATAGAAATTAGATAATTATTTAAAAAAATCTAAACAAACATTTCTTTTATAACATTTCAGTAAAGAAGCATAATATAATTTTCCCTGTTGAAGAAAACTGCAACAAAATGTTTATGAATAATTAGACTTCTAGGAACTATTTTCTATACAAATGGCAGCAATATGGAGTTTTAAAGTTCATAGTTGCATGAACTAATTCTTTTGTATCGGTATTGATTTTGTAAGAACTAAACACTGAATGAATTGAATCATATCCAGTCTGCTTGCACAGTTCATACTTGAACATAGTCAAACCATGATGATACTGCAGCCAAATATTATTTCTTCCTACATTTCCATCTTGTTGGATGACTATTAGACCAATTACAAAAAATTTACTCTCTTCTGTTACTTTTAAAACTGTTTTCTGATAAAATTTTAGAAATAACTCAGAAAGTAAAAGTATTAAATGAATAACTTTCATTTTTAATACTATTTCTAGATGATAATATTTATGTTTTTATATAAATTATCTGTAATTTAAAAAAGTAACCCAATCTTTTTAAAATAGCCTTTCATTATGAAATTTAAACTATTTTTTCATTCAATAACATTTCTCTTTTGGCCAACTACTCTAATATATTAGTCTAACTACCATTGAATATTTTATATTAGATTCAAGGGAAGGGAAAATAAATCAAAAATTCATTAGAAAGATTGGTCATTTATAAAGGTAAAAGGTCACATCTATTGATAATGAACTACAATTGTTTAAAATAGACAAAAGCCAAGTAATAATCAGAAATGTAGATTATTAGAATGGCATTTTTTGTTATTCTTAAAATTTAATCATTTATTTTTTTAATAAAATATGTTGTAAATTTATTACCAAACTTTAATAATTAATATTTAGCTATTGCATTAATATTTCATTGTGCTGTGGCCGAATTAATCAAATTTAATATAAATTTCATAAGCTGCTGAAAAAAAGGTTGAATATTGACGTTTTTTCTTTTGTGTGTGTATGAGCCGAGTAGGAAAGATGGCGGTTTTTATCTTAAAACGGATGCGACGTCCACAAATCAGTGCTTTTACCCTAACCCTAACCTAGCTCTTAGTTGTATATAACATTTTCCATTACCCTTAAGTCTTAGAGGAGACCCTCTTAAGTACAAATCAGTTGCTGTCTTCTTCTGCCTAACCATTTCTCAATCCAAATTTTTGTCTTGAAATTTCTCATTTGTGGACGTTTTCTGTCGACCCCGTTTCTTTTAACCTCTTTAAAATTTAGTTGTTTTTAATATATCACTAGATATAGGACTACAAGAAACATGTCTATATGATACAACTATTGGACCTTATTTGGATAAAAACAGCTACTAATATAAATGGCAGTCATACCTAAAATTGGATGTGGTAGAAAACGGCCATAAATCTATGGTTTTACCCTAACCCTAACCCAGCCCTTGTTTTTGCCTAACCTTTTTGAATACCCCTAACCCTTAGATGGGACTCTCCTAAGAACATATCAACAGTTATCTTATTCCTCCTAACCATTTCCCAGGCTGAAATCTAACTTTCAAATATTTCATTTATGGCCGTTTCGACCGGTCCCCCTAAAATTTTCTCATAGGATTTAAATTTCCACGAGACGGATATATAAAAGCAGTAATTTTTGATACTGTGGGTAAAAATTATCCTTTACATATTGGAATCTGGGAGAGATTATGCACAGATCCATTAACCTTCGTATGTAAGAATAAAATTGTAATTCCCGGATCAACAACTCCTGGAATTGGAGTATTTAATGTAACTGAAAAAAGTTTTGTTAAAACAAATTATTCAATTGAGTTTGATTTTTTCAATAGTCATCAGCGTAATATTAAAATAAGTGAGAATAAAAACGATCTTTTGGCAACTGTCTTTTATGAAGTAAATTTAAAATATCATTTCTATTATAATCTAAAAGATTCTGAATTTGTCTATTCTAACTAGAAATTTCAGAGGCTTGCAATAAAATCATTAGTACATTTGGTTCACCAGTCATAGATAAGATGTATCGTGGAGCAAATTTTTTAAATATAGTTACTCATCCTAGCTTCGTTAGCAATGGGTTTATACTTGGCTTTAAAATGTTTAAATTATTCAGTGGAATATGTTTCGTAGGAATTTGGAGATCACTTCCAGATCAGATTTATCCCTTCAAATTAAAATTGATCCATATAATGCCTATAGAAAATTGACCAGCATCAACTGAACAAGCTATAACTCTTTTGCAGCCTATAGCTATAAAAAATGGTGATATTTTAACAATACTATTCATAAGAAAGATGATAAACATATAATAGCAAATGATGTTAAAGAAACCCACTATCCATAAGAGAATCATGATTATATTTCATATAATTTTAGTTTTATTAAATATATAAATTTTCAACTCTAATATCGACAGTTATGTGGAAGTGATGTCTTTTTTGAAGATTTTCACATTGGTTACATGTTCAATTGCGAAAACGCTCTTCACTCTTTCTTTAAACTGAGCCCACCTAGTTACATAGAAAATATTTTAATAATTGTCCTAATCCAATTATCCAACTGTATTAAATAGTTAAAGTTTTTTTCCTTAACCTGTGCATATATGAACCAAAGAATAATCAACACATATAAAAAGAGTATATATTGCTTTTCAATTCTTGAGTTCGGAATGTGTTGGCTAATTTTTGTGATTGTAACAAGTACTTATGCTCCCATTGGAAATAGGCCTACCATATTAAAATATCAATAATTCAGAGATTTGAGATGAAAAATGTATTTTTTCTCTCTATAATGATAAGAAGAATATTATTAAATATACTAATATCCTTCATTTTCATTCTTTGAGTACGGAAAGAGAAAAAATCAAGAAAATATTATTTTTTTAAGGTGTAACAGTGACTTACCGCCGGTACTGTATTAGAACATTTTTGTAGATTTTCAATCTCTATGCTTTGTTTTTCATTTAAATTATATGAATGCAAAAATATCTGCCTTAAAGTAGTTGAAGATTTTTGGAGCTCTTCACAAATACTGAAAATTTCATTTTGCATCTGTCTATTCTCAGATAATTGAATTGTTTTTATATTAGAACATCTATTAAGGAAATATAACTATTTACTTAATAGAAATCTCTTTAAAGTTTTGCAGTACTAATTCCTATGAGAGGAATATTATATATAAAAAATATCAATATGATTTGATAAGAATCTCTAACAATAGAATTTCAGTCATGCAAAAAGAGAAATCTTTATTTTCATTAAAAGAATTAATATTTTCAATATTTTATGCCAATTTGTAAGAGAATTTCTTCCATTATTTCGGCAATAGCAATCGAGTCATCCAATGAGACAAGATCGTGCTCGGTCTTGCCTTGGAGAAGTGCTTCCCGAACAGCTTGAGCTTGATAGCAAAATCCTTCACTGTTGGGGAAAATCATTGGCTTATTAACTTTTGGAAGATTAAAACTCTTCTTTCCACTTGGAGTTTCAATATTAGTAGGAGCATGGAAGTGGTCAACTTCAATTGAGCCTTCAGTGCCATAAATTCTTGCTACATTTTTCATTGGTGTCTTAAAAGTGCTTAGAAGGTTTGCAGCTCCACCATTTTTAAAGAGTAAGGTGAAACTGGTAAGAGAATCTACTCCATTCTCAAGTAGATGACCACAAGATGTAATTTTAATGGGTTTTTCACCAAAAACTAGAAGAGCCAATTGTACCAAGTAACAGCCCAAATCCAATACTGAACTTGCGCCCAAACTACGTTCTCTTAAACGAGGTGCAATTCGATCCGCAATTCCAAATGTGCCTGTTAGAACAACCGGTCTTCCAATACTTCCGGTTTTTAATTCATTTCTTAATTCATTGTAGACTGGAAAAAATCTACTCCAGTAACCTTCCATTAAGAAAACTTTATTCTTTCTAGCAGCTTCAACCAATTCTTTGGTTTGTTTCGTATTTACGCAAAGAGGTTTTTCGCATAGAACATTTTTTCCTTTATTAAGTAAATTCAAAGCTATTGGATGATGAGCTGTATTAATTGATCCAATGTAAAATATATCAATGTCATTATCATCAGCTAGCTCAGCATAGCTTCCATATGCTTTTGGTATATTAAACCTCTTTGCAAATGCATTTGCATCATCCAACTTTCTAGCAGCCACTGCTTTAACAATATGTTCATTTTCTGGTAAATATTTTAGACACGACGTGAAATCCGAAGAAATGTTACCAGTGCTAATAATTCCCCATTTTGTAGCCGCCATTTTTACGAACTTTATACTTAAACACTTGAATTATCAGTAAACACATTTATCAACAAGGACATTGCAAAACAGTCAATTAGAAATTTCGAATACTATTTGATTGTTGCTGTTGTAGTGTTTAAATAACTTATTTGATGTAGACAAAAGAATTTATAAGCAGTACTCTTCTGTTCATTGTCATATTTGATAAACTTTTAAAATAATTAATATCCAATTCATATTAGGGCTAAATGAACTTGAGATATCGAACTGAAAAGGGTACAGCAATGTCCTTTGCAGAGTTGTTATTAAATTTTTACACATCTTATAAAAAATTGAAGTAGATGGTGAATGTTTAAAAATTCATTAGAAACAGATAAACCATTCAAAACAGTCTGTAGTCATTTGTTAAATGAAAGCTTATCAATATTCTGTTTTTATTGTTTGTCATGAAGAATCATTCAAAGATTATTTTCTTATAAATGGGAATGGATCTCAAATAGTCATTCTGTTGAAAATTGTTGGATACATATTAATTTTGAACAATTTTACAACATTTCCCATTTGGAAGTAATGTCAAGAATTTATTCTAAACCAAAGCCTAAACTATTAGAATTACATTTTTCAAATAATACAGTATCCTATCAATTACCCAATGTCAGCACTCTGCAAACTATCCTATTAGACAGGAATTATTATTCAAATTACCTTAGAATATATGTTAAATCAATATATGTCACTTCCGGTCATATTGGATTTATGATCATTAGGGCTTACACCTTAACTAAAGGTCTTAATGGATTAAAAGCTCTTAAAAAAGATAATTTACCATGTCTTTTACCGAGTAAGAACAATTATCCCTATGATTCCTTATTGTTTAATGAGAATGATGCTACATGTACATCAATAAATCTGCAGTTGTTGGGATATTCAAAATATATATCTTCAAAAGTCATCATAAAAACAAAAGATGGAGGAATAGATTCATGTAAAAATTTATCTGTATTTAAAACTTCCAATGAATGCATATATGAAAAATGTATTCTTGAAGATTACAATTCAGCTTGTCAATTTGTCTGTAAGGTATGTTTGCAGAATACTGTTTGCAATTTTATCATTTTTCAAAATGTGAATAATGATAATCAATTGTGCGAAATTCAATTTCAACTATAATCTTTTTGAAGAATTTTAGCACTAATTTTTGTCTTCATCAAACTATTATCGTATTGAATATAAAAATCATTTCAATGCTAAACCATTACTTTTAAAGTTTTCAAGTTGTTTCTTATAATTTGAGGAGATTTTCCTACACACCACCGATATTAATGGTGTCTGGAGATTTCGTCTCAAATATTGGTTGCTCAATTTCTAAACTTATTTATTAAAATTTTCTATGTAATTTGATAAAAAATTCTTGTTCAACTCTCAAATATTATATTATTTGATTGTATTTATCTCCCTTCCACAAACTGAAAAATTAATTTTTTAAAGCTGGAGATTTCGTCCACTTTTTGGAGATTGAATCTTCTAATTACTTTTGTTTTGATTTGGGAAATGGTTAGGAGGAAAAAAAGAAAACGTCCCCAAGTGAGATTTTTAAAAGCAACATTTCGGATTGAAAAATGGTTAGGATGAGTGAAGTAGCCATTGATTTGTAGTTAGGGGGGAGGGGTTCCATCTAGGGGTCATGGGTAATCAAAAAGGTTAAGGAGAGACTAGGTCTAGGTTAGGGTTAGGGTTAAACCATGCATTTGGGGACGTTTTCTGTGGTACCCGGAAAAAAAACATCAATTGATTTGCAGTCAGGGGGGTCAGGGTTAGGGTTAGAGGTAATGAAATGGTTAGGCATACATAGAGAATGGTTTAGGATTAGGATATAACCATGCTTCTGGGTGCGGGTTAGTTTTCATATAAAAACATTGGCTGTTTCTTTTTATAAATCTACACCTGTTAAAAGGCCCATTTTAAACTTTTCACACAAACTAAAAATCCTATTCTGCAATAACTAGATGAAGTCTATAGAAATTGGACGAAATCCCCTGTAACCAAATTAATTATCATTGATTTCAATATGCCTAATGTAAAGAATCCCAAAAATAATCTGAAGATTGTAAACATACATTTTGCCACTAGGTGGCATACTAGTACTAGTTACATAAATTGCATCAAAAAAATTTTTTGTACAAACTTAAACTTTCTGTTCAATGCGTCTCTTCTCACAAATTAAACTACATATGTCTATTTCCATAAATGTCAGAGGACACACCAATAGACATCAATATACAGGAATCTAACATGATAAAACAGTATATATAAAGATCATTCATCAGGAAATGGAAATGAAATTTATAATGTAAATTTTTTATCAATAAATGAGATCTAAAAATATCATTTAACAATAGGGATTTTGCATGTTTTTAATTATTTTAAATCAATAACACGAGTATCTCACACCAATTTCATAATTGAAAACATTAATCATCGTATTTTCTTCTCGTATGAATATACAACACTTTTTTAACGGAATTAATCCAACCAATGGTATTAACTCTTAATATTTATGATAAAGGTTGGTCTAAATTGATTTTTTTGTCTATTTATTTTCCTTTTAGCTGAAATTTTTCCACATCACAATTCAATTAATGAATGTCTGTCATGCTTAATACGTTGATTGTTATCATCTGCATTATTTTACATAGTTTTTTCTGTTCTGCTACAGAATATGTTTCTTGTAGAGCTGCACTGTTTGAAACTGAAGAGAATGGTACATATTCTATAAAACCAAGATTAAATGGCCATAGTGCAAATGTAACTTGTAATAAGCTTAATTCAACTCATGGTATTGCTATGTTAGGTAACACTGCTGAAACGGAAATTCTTCTCTCAGATACTTACGAACATAATAATTATGAAAATCAAATCAAATATGGAGACTATGATGATGACGATATAAGAGAGTTTAAAAATACGAAGATCACTTGTTCTCAAGGAATCACATTCACTAATAAAGAATCAACGCCAGCAGCTCACAAATTTCTATTCAATGACAATACACTGTTTGAAAACATTAATGGCTTTACTGATGGAATATGCAAATGCTTCATAAGAACTGTATGTGACACTACTGATAATCCAGATTCTGAGTGTGTTATGATAGGTGGTCCTGAGGTTACTGAAGAAGGAGATTTTAGTGTTTTTTCACACAGATTACCAATAAGAGAAATACATACAGGAGATGTTAGTGATCCACAGGAATTTGTTCGCTATTCAGTTCATAAATTAAAATGTATTTTTGAACTTCAACTCAACTTTTATGTATTTACCAATCACAATACTACTTGCTTGAATAATAATACCTTTAATATACTCAATGATGGACATTCAACAACTTGTACATCCCTTCCATCAGAAATTCCATTCCAACTGGAAAGTATTAAAGAAATTAATTCTGTCAAAATTATAACAAATGAATTAGAACCGTGTCAATTAAATATAGAATTTTATCTTCAAGGGAACAATGATATGAAAATATTATGTTTAAAAGATGATAATTGCAATTTTAAATGTCCACCTTCAAATTCAATTAATTTTCAATTATTTGAAAGTGAAGAAAATATCAAACTATGTGAAATTGTATTAAATTTTTAAGCAGTTCTTTCCCTGTTTTTCTCATTTTTCAGGAAAAGTTTCTGATTAGAGTTAAAACTAAGATAAAATTTTCGTCCCAATATTTTTGTGTGATTAAAAGACTCAATTAATATTAATTATTTAAAATGTATTCCACTACTCCTCCTTTGCCAATTTGTGTTTTTACAAGTTACAACAGTACTGGTTCTACTTGAACCTTTAACATAAATGTTTCATTTAAAGAGTTTATTTGAAATAAATTACTTACACAAGTAACAATATGCAAGTCCAATGGCAGAGTAGATAATTTGTAGTAGCAGGTTGCCAAATTATCTGAAATTGACACCTAACATCCAGTTGGTGTAATGGATAGTTACTGTTTATGTTTAGTAATAGGATGTTACAATAGTCTAACCTTTAGAAAGGCTAATTGAATTATAGCTTGGCTAAAACTAAACCAGTAATGAAAGTTGGACCTTTTGGATGACTAATTGAAATGTAATTGGGCCAAACCTTATAGAATTTTTTACAGATTGGTATGAGTTGTGTATAGTAACATATTTTAAGCGTAAAACAAAACGAAAGTTGTACAATCATAAAAAAATGTAAAATTCCTAATGAATTATTCTTTGATTGAAATTCTGGTATTGAGTAATATTAAAAACAGTAACATCTCTAATAATTTATAGAAATAGATACTTAGGCAAGTAGTTAAAAGACTTTTTATTTATCTATTCATTTTCTATTTTTAACATTTCTCCAAGCTTTTACATTATCAATAATTTACGCATCAAAATTGATATTTTGATCAGTAAATTATAACCTAAACACGTATATTAGAGAAAAATAAGGGAAGGAAATACAAAATTTCTTAAATACCTATTCTACTCAAATTGTTTGGTAAACTGGTAGGGATTAGGGGTTGGGCTAAGATGACAATATTAGAGATATTTTTCACCAGAATCCTTTGGTCTTGATTAAAGAAATTCTTTACATTATTAATGGAGAGGATTTTCTTTTATCTTAAAATGATGCTATATTATTGATAATTCTAGAACACGCACTTCTTCTATTATGCATCATAGAGATTAGTTTTATATCTATATATATTCATGTACATCAACAGAAGCAACTGTAGTTGGAGAGATGGGCTTTGCAAGTGTATATATATCAATTATTTCTAGTTCAATTCAAGTTTTTGGCTTTCTTTTGAATATTAACCTTATTATTATTGGTGTAATTAATAAAGATTTATGGAAATTACACAACTTTGGTATTACAGCTTTAACTTTTACAGATATTTCTTATTCAATAATCTTCTTCCTTTTCATTTTTCTTCATGATTCTTATACAAATTCTTACAGTTGCCTTATTTCATTTCAATTCATTTTTATGATTGTTTCAGTATCATCTTTTACATTGACTTTAATTACATTTGAAAAGTTTATGGCAGTTGTAAAACCTTTTGTATTTTCTAAAATGTGGACAATGAAGCGAGCTCTTATCTTACTTTCTTTAATATGGTTTATTTGCTTTGCTATTTGTTCACTTCCGGTTATGGGTTGGAATAAGTACGACGGGAATTCGCAACAAAATATTACTACAGATTGTCGTTCATTTAGTGTCTTTTCCTTTTCATACATGTTTTTTTGGTCCTTTACTACCATTATGCCAAATGCTGTTGCATCTTTAATATTATATATTCCAATAGTAAGAGCAATTAGAAAGCAAAGAAAAGCAATTTGCGATACATCTTATACCAATAATACCACCTCTGAAGGAAGCAGTATTCGAATTTTGACCAGTTTATTAATAATAAATTGCGTGTTTACAATTTTTCCACCTGCATTAACTGCTGCTGAGTATTACAGACTCAACGGAAAATATTATTTATCAGACTATCATTTTGAATTAGTTACTGACTCATTTACTGCAATTGTTGTTTCAAATCCAACAGTTAATGCCCTAGTTCATGGTTATACAAAATCCTCTATAAGAAATCATACTAAACAATTTTACATTGCACTCATTAAGAATTGTACTTTTAAAAAATTATAGGACTATACTCAATACGTTATAGTTAATGATTGAAGAGATACAAATCTGATTATTGGCTAGATAAGGATCATATCACTAAAATTCTCCAAAAGATGATTTTCTCGATATACATTCTTGTGTTTTGTCTAAAACATTTTGAGTTATGTTGTTACAGAATTAATCATAGTCTCATGCTTGGCAGTATGCCAAAAATATATTTTTAAAGTACTGATAGAATAACTTGATCAGGAAAGTTCATGTATTTGGTATTGATACATCTCTTTTTAGTTCAACCACAACTATATAAAATAATAAGTTTGAACTTATATTTTTTTTCAAACTATGATGAAAACCCTCTAAGTCATTGTTTGTTCTGATTTTTTGGTCTCTGGAAGTCAAAAGCTACTTTTAATACAGTTGTCTTCAATATACTCCAAAAAATCACTAAGTTGATTTCTATCAGCTAAATCATTTTTTATATTGTTGAATTAATTTGCAATCAAAGTATGAGGAAGCTGGGGTAAAGCCAAAATCATTTTGATTGATTTCCAATCTCCATTCTCCTTCTCTCTTTTAAAATTCTCTCGCAGGAAGATTGCAGAAATAAAATCACACAGGAGTACCCATCAATGGAAAGATGTTCCAAGGAAATACAATCCTGCAGACTGGTTAACAAAAATGCCTTCCGAATTGAACAAACAACAGTTTGCAGAATGGGTGCATCGACTCATTGAAACACAGGATCAAAAGGGCACCAAACAAATGGTGAAGCTGCTTGTATTAAGAACCCTGAAGGTGATGTCAACTCTGTAGATGAATTGATAATGAGGAGATTAGGAAGGGAACCAATAAGTCCTCAGAAGGAACAAGAGATCAAACAAGCTATAGAGGAAGCGCCGCAGCAGATTGATCCGAAGAAGATGGCGAAACTTACAAGTTACACTGTTCTTTCTATTCAAATATCAGCAGGAACATCTACTCTCCTTTCTAGTGGTATGACTTCCTTTGTGGATTCCTCAGTTGCACTACTGTTAGTAGCAATTTAGTCAAATGGAAGTAATTTCCGAGATCTTGTAAGACTTTATTCATCACTCGATGCAAGAACTAAGTCATCAATATAGAAGCACTGAACCCCTCATCAATCAATTCACTGGTCATGCAATGTGATTGAAAGCACCTTTCTCAAGGTTGGAGATGTAACATATGGGCAAGATGTGTCTTGTCATCTAGTACTCAATTATGTTTTTATCTTGTGTTGTCCCTGCCTTTGTACTGGAGTACAATAGACCAAAATAGGGCAGGTCATCTGTTTCTAAATTCACTTGATGAAACATGGCCTTGATGCATGCTTTAAGAAAGAATCGACCATGCTTTCAATTTGAGATCATTCTAGGAGTACTGCCTACTAGGCGATCACGGACGGTAATAACATTGTTCAAATTCATATTCTCGTAGGGGGCTACACGGTCATATACGATCTAAAGTTTCTTTTTCTTTGGATTCGCAATGTCGATTATGAGGTATAAACCATTTGATGCCTTTTCTCCAGTGTTCTCTCTGGCATCATCATTAGTTATGTAGTTATGAATTCCTTTATTGTATTCCCGCTGTATCCAGCATGACAACTATTTCTCTATTGTTTACATCGCTATCAAAGAGGTGTCCTTCTCTCTGATGGTCCCAATTAAGACCTGTTTTACCTGCCTCTTTTCCTCGCAGCGATGTAACCAAGAATGTTTACTCTATCCACAGCCTCCTTAAAGTGGTCGTAGACATCTCTCAGCCTGATGATTGCAAGTAGTCGAGCAATTCTCGCATAATCCAACCTTTGTTACTAACTTCACTCTTTCTTACTAATTCGAGCGTCTGAATTATATGTATGACCTGAGTATATGGTTCTTTCTGCAGTTGAAGCATATTGTACCATTATTTACCTCTTTGTCTTGCTGTTGTGTATATCCTGGGATTTTGTTGAGAAGTGAATTTTGCGTTCCTTGTGGATTTGACGTATTCCTCGACAAAGGATGCAATTTTCTCAAGAGTGAATTGACCCCCTCCTCAACCGTTTTGCTGGTCCATTCGTCACGAAGACTCTGGCACATACAGAATCTCGCAGTGACCAACCCCAGTACATTTGTTCCTTTGTGCCCCCTCAGGCATAACTCGCGTTGAATTTTGATTGAATTTCCCCTAATAATTGGGCCATGATGCAGTAAATTTAATTTTTGCGTTTATTCAAAGTGTTATATTTGATTTAGAATAATTATTTCCATCACTAACTCATATCAATTATTCACTGTTATATCTAAGACAGTAAAAATAGAAAAAAAAATAAATGATATAATCTGACAAAAAGTATTTACTTAGATGTATTGACTTGTTTTTAAAATACAAAAGTAATGTTATTTACAGCTGTATTCGTATCTTGAAAAAAAGAGAAAAAATAAATTCTCCCCAAGGTGTACTTGACGTCGTAGTTCTAGGTATATCCGTAGTGCTTGTAGATAGGGAAGGCTCTGTGGTGATGTGTTCGATAGTTGTCGTTCTTGGAGCAGAAGATATCGTACTTAGAGAATCGGTTGTCTGATGAGAATCGAATGGTATGTTCCCACGTATTAATGCTGAAGTGACAAATTCCAAAAGAAATGGCATCATATACACACCAAGTAACCTCATCCTTTGTAATGTATCTACCATATACTCAGGATGCAAGCAAACTATCTGTCTTGAAAACAATTAGAAGACTAATCAATGTCTTTTGTACAAAACGTCATTCTTACATGATCTCCTGCTTTATATATACTGTACTGATAAGCACTGATAGTTATCTATGTTTTTTTGCTTTGCTTTGAAATAAATAAACCAATGAGCTCGCGTCTTTGTTTGGTCGTTAATTTGAATTTGCAATGCTTTTGAATATCTTTTAAATATTTATTATATATTTAAAATACCCAATCAAAACTATAAGAGATATTGCCTATGAAGAATATAAGTAAGCCTATATATGGCAATGCTGCAGATAAAAGAAGAACAATATTCTGTTGAAAACACCTGTAAACTTTATTTGACTTTATACTGTTTACATCATACAATGCTACTTTGACCTTCAGAAGATATTTATCTTTTTTACCGCAAGCTTATCTTCTGCTCCTAGACATTTTATTATCCTTTTTCATTACTAAAAGCAACATAAAAAACATATGTATTTCTAGATTCACTTCTTAACTTATTAATTTTCTGCTTTACAGTGCAATAGTAGGAATTTCTATAATTGGTAATTGAACATAGATAAGTTATGTTTATCTTGCAGTCTATCAAAAATATCTGTTGTTCTTCAATTCTGCACTGTATATCTCTGTACACAAATTCTTCAAAAGATGATTTTGTCATTATACATTCTTGTGTTTTGTCTAGAACATTTTGAGTTGTGTTGTTAAAGAAATAATCATAATCTCATGCTTGGCAGTATGCCAAAAATATATTTTCTAAAGTATTAATAGAATATCATGTATTTGGTATGATTAAGTACTCTGAAAAAAAGTTGTTAGTGTTTTGTGCAAACAATTGAGTAGTGATTGATTTTAAAGAAAACTACTGTCTCTGATAAAACATTATAGTCATTTTTATAAGACTGCAAAACATTTCTCAATGGCATTTGGAAAGTTTTTGGAATATAAAGATTCCTGAACAAATTGTCTTTAATTTAGAGAGATTCCTTTTAATGTTCTAAAATTTGGACAGCTTTTTATCAAGTTTATTATCGTAATCACCTGTTTATCATCTAAAGGACATTCTTTGATATTTATTTCCTTTAAAGTATTTGACAACTTAAAAAGTCCATGCAAAATAATATCCCAACCAGGATTTATTATTGTAGTTTTTTCTAGGTTGATTTCTTCAATACTTGGACAAACTGTCATCAAATTGCCTATTTCACTACATTGTTGATAATCAAAAGAGCAAAACCTAAAACTAATATGCTTTAAAGTATTGACTGATTTTATCAGACTATTACAAATTGCTGCCAATCCAAGGGTAGTAAATTTATTCCATCCAAGTTTTATTGTTTCAATTTTGTAACATTTACTCAACAAATATCCAATCCTTAAAAAATTCTCTTCCTCTAAACAGCAACCCTCAAAATTGATATATTTTAAACAACCTGCTGAATGAAGAAGCATTGAACAAATATTTGAAAAATGAACTGTCATTGAATGATTGAAACTTAAATCAATTTTCTCTATTTTAGAGCAGTATCTCAAAAGACTTTTTAGATGTACACATTTTTCTTCATTTAAATTACAAAATTTAAATTTTAGGACTTTTAAACTACTGGCTGATAAATAGAGTTTTGAGCAAATAAATTGCATTTCATCTGCTTCAATACTAGTGAATGAGAGATTGAATTTGACCAAGTTTGAACATTTATCTAATAAATTTCCAATATCTTTCCAATATCTTTTATTATTTTCATGAAAGTGACATTTTCCAAAATTAATATCCATTAAACTGTTGGATGATTTCAATAGTCCTTTACAAATTTCAGATAATCCTTGTTGTATATACAAATTGAATTTTAAACTGACTTTTTCTATTCGTGAGCATTCATTTAAAAGATGTCCAAGAGATTTACAGTCATGTTCACAAATACTACACGATTCAAGGTTAATGTGCTTTAAAATATTTGAAAATCTATATAGATAAGGAAAAATAGATGATGTTATATTTTCAATCTTTCCAGATCCATTTAGATTAATACTTTCAATACTCCTACAACAGTTCAATAGCTCACAAATCAATGAAATTTGTTCTTTATTTAAACTACAATCAATAAATTGAATTTGTTTCAAATGCTGTGATGATTGAGATAGTCCTTGACATATTTCTGTGATACAACAATTAGATGATTTTCTTCCAGATAGCTTACTACTTTTAATGAAAGAAATCATTTTGTACTGTGACAGGCACTTGTTTATATTTTTATTGTTGTTTGTGATTTGGTCTCTTAGCGATTGGATTAAAAGCTAAAAGCTTTTTAAAATAGTTGCTATTATATCAAACTGTGTTCCAATTGTAGTGTCCATTAATTTCTTTTCTTTTGGTTAAAGGAAACATTCCACTTTCGTGTAGATAACACCTATCTATTGCAACTTGAGAGAAGAAGAGAATAGCAGTGAAGACACAGAATAGTCTGACATGTAAATTTTCTAATTCCAGTGAAAAACAAGATTAGAAGGTTTGGGCAAAGAATTTGGCCATTTACCAAATATCGTGGAACACAAATAAAGTACTTGATATCATATTGATCCAATTTTATGTTACGGCATGATATATTAAAAAAGCTTTTTGCAAAGGTAGATAGATCAATATTGAAGTTATGACTTGATAACTAAAAAAAAGTATTTAAATATTTAAATAGTTTTCCAAAAGTTATTTAACAAATGAATGACATTTTTTCTGCGTCAAAAATGTTAAGCATAGAGAACGCTAGGATTCGCACAGAATCATGCATTTGGATAGTTTTTGTCCAATGACAAATCATGAGGAGATTTTTCCTCAGAAACAATTATGAAATTAAAAAATTTTCTTGAACAAAAAAAGACAATTGGGAATTGGTCTTTATCTAGGGCACTGTTATATTTTTTTTATTAGAATCAATTGCATTATGCCTGATATACTTGTTGTAACAAAAAAAGGTCTGAAATCTTTTATAAGTACAATATGTATTCTTCACAAATAAATACTGTATGATCAGAATAAGGATATATACTTTTTCTCTTCCTTTCTCAATATTATTTTAAAATCAAATATGAATTTGATGTCGATTTTTAGGACCGGATTCAGCTTGTTTTCCCTCATAAGAAGATATGAAATATCATAGCCTATTTCCAAATGGATTATCAACACATCTCCTTTTAATAGGTAATGCTGGTTCTGTCACTGTTGTGTTGTTTCAAAATTACTAATTCATTAGCTATATATCTTTTTTGGCTATAAATGTCATTGATAACAATGTCTGCAAAACAACTTTGGTTACAATGTATCTATCAAAATGGGAGATTATATTTGTACATACAGTCTTAATAAAAAATAATTGTTACAGTGGTAATTGTAAAGGTTGATTGCCAAAATTTGTTTATGATCTAGAATAATTCATAAGCTATCAGGTATTTGAACACCACCGCTACCACATTATAATTAAGAGTTGGGGTCTGGCAGATTGAATACAGTAACAAAGAGAATGGAATTGTAAATTACAAGAATTTGCAGATTAATCCAAAGTGGACAAAATTTCTCAACATTTTGCATTCATAAAAATTTCTCCATAACTTGGGTTCACTTAGAAAGAGTCAATTATCAATTTCCAATATATTATTGTTAAATAAACATAATATTCATTATCAATTGTATTCACTTGTGGCCATATTCTATCATAAAAAACTCGATAGCTTCAGTTAACAATATAAATATTGGGGTCGAACAGGAACTAGATTGTTGAATTTTGACTACTTACTAGTGTACATTTATAATTCGTAGAGGTAAGTAATACAGCACTAATTACCTATTTTTAGTGGCTCTATTTTCTATAATAAGTATGAATATCCTATTACAATTTTTGATAGGTTTTTGGGTTCAAAAGGTCAGTCTTTAAAACATCTATTTCTATTTTATCTTTAAAAGCTTTAACTAGGTGACACTTGGCCTAAGTTTATTATAGGCAAGTAAAGGCTTTTCTTCTAATGCACTTTGACGCCTATCCATGTAGCCTTTATATTGGCTTTTGTTTCTCTTCATTCTCATTTTTGTTTATACATAGGTTATTAAACATTAAAACTTAATACGTTGGTTACTAAGTTAAATATCTGTAATATACAGTCCCAGACAAAAATATCCATGTATGAAAGAAAAACAAATGTTTTCGATAAAACAAATCCAACAGTTACTTATTAATCCTGTAGTCTTTGTTAATAAACTGCTAAACTCTTCCTACATACAAATGTTTTACATAATCTTTATTGTTAATATTAATTTTTTCTACTTCCTCCCATATTTTATCCCATAGATGATTAAGTGTTTGGGAATGATGAATTTCATACACTTTTTGTTTCAAATAACCCAATAAATTTTCTACAGGGTTGTGGTCTGATGAGTAAGAAAGCC